AGTAAACATGGCCACTGTCAGAAGACTTGGAAGAAAAGAAAAATGAGGTATTCAAAAAATAAAAAGCCGGCAAATATCTAGAAGTATCTGATTGTAGATTGTCATTACTTGTTAGGGAGGGAGCAAAGTTCCCTTGTTTGCTGGAGTGGACCCCAATAGCAGGAAACACTTCCAGAAGGAGAGTCTAGGCTGAGGTACAAGATGGGATGATTCAAAATGCGTTGACACAGTACAGTCCGGGTCGAGGCAGGCAGCGAGTATCATAAACGCGGAGACAAACCAGGGGTCGATAACCAGGAGATCCAAATAGCCTAGAAGGAAGGCAGGAAACAGGAAATGAGTCTTCGTAGCTGCTTTGGGTATGGCAGAATAACTCAGCAACAAGTCTTGGCTCTGGCTGGGATTTAAACACAGCAGAAACCAGAAACGCCCCCCGTTGTCTGGGCAACGAGGAAGCTACAGGTCCCTGGGAACCAATGGGATGGCTAGGGGATAAGGTCTGCTCACAAGGCTCTCCCAGGCAATGATCAGCACCTGAGGTGAATGTCACGTGCATGCATGCGCGCAGCTGCAACCAGCCGCTGCCGGGCACCAAATCATCCCAGATAAAAGGGAACCCCTGGTCCCACGACATTACTTAACATTTCTAAAGGTGCCTTTGTTGTTATTTTGAAGATATGGGTAAAGTCATCTTTAAAGGGAAATCTTCTGTTTGTTGGATCCTTGCTGGATATCCAACTACAATCTCACATTTTTGGGCCTATTAATAATGTCAGGTTTTCTGGGACAGCAAATATGGTCACTTGGCGCTACAGATTAGCACCTAGACCTGTGAGATGTGGCTATAGAACATTAGAAGAATCTGAAATTGCAGTCCGATGTGACAAGTTAGTGATATAATTGTTGGTCAATAAATGCAGTCATAGTTTAGATCCGTCTTCTTTTCCCAGCAGTGTTTTTCCTTTTTAAATATTGAGCTTCGTAAAGTGCTGGCACTAATGCTTCTAATCTAATTTTTCTGCCATTTAGGTCTAAACTGACCGATATGTCAGTTCTGATAGCATGTATTATGTTTTCTAAACAATGGTACATAATATCCCCTCTGTTCGTGACATTGTTTTAGTTGTACTTCTAACCATGTGTGACCAATTTCTGCACCTAACTAGAGAAATGGGAATCGATACCACAAGGCTATGGCATGGCCACCCTTTTCCTTACACTAGTCTTATGTTATACTCCACTGCTTTCCAAGTACAACCGAAACAGAGACTCTTATGCTGGTCAGGATACAGTCCGTGTACCTATCGCACTCAGAACCGCTGCTCCATGAGATAAGAAGTGGGTGCAGTAGGTGTCAACGGGTGGCTTCCGTCAAAGTATAAGTAAAAGATGGACACCGGCACTCCAAAGCAAATCCAGTGTGTCTATTTATTCACGTACTTGATGCAAATGCAAAACACAAGATACAACGTTTCGGGGTCTCACAGGATCCCCTTCATCAGGCAAACAAGTGATGTGTTTGCCTGATGAAGGGGATCCTGGGAGACCCCGATTTATTGGACTACTAGAGATTCCATGGATGCAGGTAACCCAGTCTGTATAAGCTTTGGCCTTTCATAGCGGTCAGAGCTGACCACTTCGATCAATCAGAGCACATATCTACCTCCCATTATGCAGGGAATGATGATGGGGAAAGGCTGCAGACACACAAGAGGGGGCAGCCAGAGGCTGCAGGGAATAGATTCTAAAACGAAATTGGCTTTCTGAAATAGAAATTTAATTAGGCATGGTTAAGCAATGTGGTCAAATTATAACGAGCATTTAAATTGTATTTTGCAACCCTGTTATATTTAAAGGTGCATTACTGGCATGTCTTTGACAGTTTAAAGTGGACCTTTAAACTAAAGGCTAAAATTGACATCATTAGAGTTCTGTATGCTGAAATGAAATCATCTTACGGTCATTAGTTAAAGAAACATATTTTCATTTTACACACAATTTCTTGTTTTTTACTTCCTCGTTCTCTTTGGCGAAAGTAATGTAATGTAATGTGCCCAAGTCTTGCAACCTGGGAAGGTTGCATCAGCAGAGCATTGCTGGGAAATCGCATCTGTAATCTCATGAGATCTCAGGAAAAGGCATTGTCCTCCACTGAGATGATGTGCATGGTCACATGTCCTAGTCACATGTGCCAGAGTTTCAGGAAGTAAAAAAATAAAGTTAAATAAACTAAAATGAAAAAGACTGGAAAAAAAAGTTAGATACAATGAATGTCTAATACAATACATACAATTACCAATATATAAAAGGTGGGAAAAGCCTGACAAATTTTGCTGCAGGAGGTGTGTTGTGGTGCTATTCATTTAAATGGGTCCCAAATGCACCTCCCGTCCACAGTGTGATCCCTGCATTCCAGTGCAGTTTCCAAAAATGTGCATACCGTTTTATTCTGAAGTAAACTTTGTCTGTAGCGCTGCATCTGTATATTTTATTTTTAATAAATATCAATATTTTTTTTAAAATCTGATTAATTGAAATTAATAATCTGCTAACTAATAGATTATGAAAATAATCGTTAGCTGCAGCCCTAATGGCTAATGTCGTGCATTAGCCTGCATTCACACCTGAGCGGCATGAAATATGCCCATTTTCAGCGCTTTTTTGCACATTTTTATCTGCGGTTTACATGCGAACATAAAGATACACGTTTCCAGTTCCCACACATCCGGATTTTTGGAAGTTCTCTTAGGTGGTGTTTGATGATGTAACTCCTGCACATGTGCAAAGCAGTTGCATCCTTCCCAAAACCCAGCGAATTCCTGGCTTCTTAGTGATGTTGTGAATGAGTGTGTATGGGAAAAACAAAGGAGGCCGGAAGATACATCCAGAAAGCCTTATATAGTGTAGTTTCTTTGGGTTTTCTTAGCCACGAATAGGAAAGGATGGTACATTTATATGACTTACTTCTGGGTAGGTTTCAGTAAACCATTGACATGGTACGGAACCTAACATCAAACAAGTGGAGAATACCTCTGTCTCCTCACAGATCTTTATGACACTTACAGGCCTCCTTCTCACCCTCAGCCTTTGACTGGACAGTGAAAAAGAAGCCGACTGATGAGCTCCCCTCTCTGTCACTTGACAACACATGAACTAAATGGTTTCTTGTGCTGCTTCTTCCACTGTGAGCTCTGTTGTACAGGAGATTGCACAAGGCTGATAATAAATCTGACCATACGCTGCTCAGATTTCCTGCTGAGTTGCATGAAATTCAAACTGTGGGGTGTCACTGTATGTGCATTTAATGAGGTTTTAATCAATGGAGTTGCATGAATTTGTCTCTTTCTGGAGTTTAGCCAGTTATGAAACAATAAACACATTTTGTACAAAAGAAGATTGATTGTATAGCTTACATTACATTTGTGTCTGTTTCGGGAGAATTGCTTATCATAGGGTTTTACAGTTTGATCTCCCAGAATCCTTTGTTTGCAGCCCTCTGTTCTCTGATGTCTTGGCAGGCAAATCTGGTTGTAACATCCTGCTAGTGATTTGATTTCTTTTCAAAATAAACACTTTTTAAATGGTACTCTGGCTTGGTAAAGAGGAGTTAATTGATTTAAAAAAAAGAAGTTTCTAATTATCACAGTGTAACCTTGCTGCTTACGTGTCAGGCACGTCAGAGATATTACGCACTGTCATTGATGCAACCTTGCACTGATGAAGATTTGCATTTATGGAGAGAGGTTTAATTGCTTTCAAGGTTTTCCAAATCACCGGAGGAAGATTACATTTGCAGTAGATGCTTAGGTGGCTGGAAGGGTTACTAATATACAGTACCTTAATATACATCCCCCAATTCCCAAAAAGTTGGGACGCTGTGTAAAATCTACATCAAAACAGAATGCAACGATCTGCAAATCTCATAAACCCATATTTTATTCACGTTAGAAAATAGAAAACATACCAAATGTTTAAAGTGCAAAAATGTCCTATTTTTAAGGAGAAAAAAAGGTCATTTGGAAACTAATGGCAGCAACACATCTAAAAAAAAAGTTGGGACAAGGCTGTTGTGACATGTTTACTACAGTATATCTTCCAGGGTTGTGTTTTAATCGACCCTGATTGATTTACCAGAAAAGTTCATTATTGGTGTGCTTGGGCCTTTCTAGCCAAGTACTAGTTGGAGTTATGTTATTTACTTATTTATATATTTTAAAGATTTAATTCATGAGTAAACCAATAAATAGGGGCTGCTTTATAAATCTTGTGTCCAGCATATAGCTGGATGAATGCCGGTCTCAAAACATTACCACCAAGTGAAGCCAAGGAACATAGATTTATTAATCAACCCCTAAGGTGCCCATACACTGTGCGATTATCGCATGATAATCGCAGGAAATCCTGCGACCGTACGATAATCGCAAAGTGTATGGAAGGCGTGCAACTGTTTTTACTGTACGGTCGCAGGTTTTTTTGTCTAAGGAGCACGCTAGAAAACCAGCCGAGAAATGTAAAATTTTTGGCTGTTTTTTAACATGATCGAAAGATCAATGCCGCACGGGCCGGTGTGCGCACGCGCACACTGCCCGTTCAGCATTGCGGTCATTGGAAGCCCGCCCCTCAGGGGGGCGGGCTTGCGATGATCGCAAGTACGACCTGCCTGTCCAAGATGGGCAGATCGTACGTTTTTTCAATTACTTTACAACCATCGCAAGACTACGGTCTGTATGGCCACCTTTAGAGTCTTTTTCACTCACATGTTCAATAGTCTCTGAATGTTTCACATACATATCACTAATGCAATGTTTTTTTCTGAAAGGAATTTGGGTTGTGTTATATGGCAATTTGCAACTAATGCTTAGCAGTGTTGCTTTCTCCTATAACAGAGGACAGATGTGGTATTTTTGTGTTATGTAACGCAGGATAAGCACGGGTAAATATTTCTGCACCAGTGTTTATGTATTATGTTTGGTATTTATGTTTGTTTTGTTTTCATGCAGATTCAAAAGATGTCAGGTGAATTGCCATTAAATATTAACATCAAGGAGCCTCGCTGGGACCAGAGTACATTTGTTGGAAGAGCCAAGCATTTTTTCACAGTAACTGACCCCAGAAACATCCTTCTGTCTAATGACCAGCTGGAGCATGCTAGGCAAATTGTTCAAGACTACAGGTACACACCGTTGTTATTATTATTATTACGTGCTAGATACCATTAGTTGATAATAAGAGCAGACCCTCCCTATGGATAAATCGGATTGAGTGCTTGTTCAAACCATCTGCATTTGGGCGGTGCTGGACGTTTTAACCAGTGCAGCCTGAGACCCCATTCACACTAAGCGACATGGAAATTGCGCGACTTTGAGCGACATGTCCCTATTGGGCTGTATGCAATCAGGAGCAACATCGCTCAAAATCGCTCTAAAAAAGGGTCATGTAGGAGCGACAAGCTACCAGCGACGAGCTACAAGCGATATTGAGCGACAAGATGTGAACAGCTACATTGAAATGTATTGGTGAAGCTACATAGAGCAATATAGCGCGGAAATATGAGCGATATCGCTGCAAAAATCGCTCCATAAATCGCTCAGTGTGAATGGGGCCTGAAAGCAAGACAAGGCAATTTGCCTTGTCATGGGTGGTGACAGCTCACCCCACTGCGTTCCACTGGTGTACACTTAAGAAAATTGCAGCATGTGATACCTTTTTTAAGCACATTGCAGTGAGATGCAGTACAACCGCACTGCGCCGCGGTGAGCCCATAGAACTTAATGAAATGTCACTTGTGATATTTTATTCAAGTTCTAAAAAAAGAAACCTTGCAATGCGGCTTGATCAAGCTCATCTGCTCTATCTGGGCACACGCACACTAGCAGCTATGTGGTTGTGCGCGTCTGCTGATGTGAACAAACCCTGAGAAAGGACATGGTAAGGAAAGCAGCAGTTTCTTCGGGGCAGAGAAAGGTATAACGTTGTAAAGCAATTTTGTTACAATCCTTGCTATATTTGTAGCTATATAATTCACCTGGAGGTCTCAACAAAGCTAGAGCACAAAACCATGCAGAGAGAGCTTTAACCACTTGAAGACCAGGTGTTTAGACCCCCTTCCTGGCCAGGCCATTTTTCAGTATTCAGCGCTGCAGTACTTTGACTGACGTTTATTCCGTCATGCAGCGCTGTACTGAAATGAATTTTATACCATTTTTTGGGGACAGATGGAGCTTTCTTTTGGTGGTATTTAATCACCACTGGGATTTTTATTTTTTACTATATTAGGGAAACAATACCGAAACTTTAGGAAAAAAAAACAGTTTTCCTTATATTATGTTAATGAAACAGTGCAAATAAATTATCTTTCTTCATACATTTAGGCCAAAATGTATTATGCTACATTTCTGTGGTAAAAAAAATCAAAATAAGTGTAAATTAATTAGAATGTGTTACAGTTATACAGTCTACAAAACTACAAAACAATGGAATAAATATTTGAAATGTAACAACCCCGCTGCCCTGACTGCCTATCACATTTCTTGAGGCCCTAAAATACCACAACGGTAGAAACACCCACAAAATGACCCCATTTTGGAAAGTAGACACCCTAAGGTATTTGATAAGATGCATTGTGGGTGTTTTAAAGATGTCAATTTTTTTGCACAAGTTTTTAGAAAATTAAGATTTATTTATTTTTTTTAAACACAAATTTGTCAGTTAGTAAGTTTTGTGTGTGTATGTCACTTTAATTGCTTACTGTGGACGATCTCTGAAGCTCTCAATCCTCTCTCTCCCACAACCGAACGGTGTGTGAGAGAGGAGATGGAGACAAGGCTGCAAACCGCAGCCATTGTTTACTTTTTTGACAGCTGTGATTTGGCACAGCCAGATCGCAAGGTATAGAGCAGATTTCACTGACTCTATACCTTGTTATGGAAACAGTTCTGTCCAATGGACAGTGCGGGCACAGTAAGCGGCTCGTGCGGGGGGCGGGGCAGGACGTACTAGCACGCCCGCTTACATCCAAGAAGGTCCCGGCAGGCCGTGTAAGTACAACGGCTGGCCGGGAGGCAGTTAATCAACCTCTGATTGCAGATGGTGTACACTTCTAGTTCTAGGACTGTCATTGTCTGTGCTGTCACTCACAGTTGATGGTCTTGGCTAATGAATGGAAACCAATCAGCGTGGTTTATAGTTATGTGTTCATCATAACAGGTAATCACGGTGATCACATGTGGTTTATTTACAACAGATATTTTGGCCTCAGCTTACACACAGAGTGAGACTCGGTGGTGGCTAAAGCCAACGGTGCAATGCTACGTACAAAAAAAAAACAAAAACTCAAGAGCTAGTTTGTGTTATGCTTGGACTTTTTTGTAGATTTTTCAACCTACAATAAAAACATATATATAGATATAGATATATATAGATATAGATATATCTATATATATCTATATCATACATACATACATACATACATACATACATACATACATACATACAGGTGAAACTCGAATAATTAGAATATCGTGCAAAGTTCATTTATTTCACTAATGCAACTTAAAAGGTGAAACTAATATATGAGATAGACTCATTACATGCAAAGCAAGATAGTTCAAGCCGTGATTTGTCATAATTGTGATGATTATGGCTTACAGCTCATGAAAACCCCAAGAATCCCAAATCCACAACCTCAAAAAAGTAGATTACATGCAATCAATAAAACAAGGACTGTACATAGAACAATATCGGACCTCTGAAAAGTACAAGCATGCATATGTACTCAGTACTTGGTTTGGGCCCATTTTGCAGCACTTACTGCAATTACTTTTGCAGGATATTCTAATTTTTCGAGTTTCACCTGTACATACATGCAGGGCTTGAAAAATCCACTCGTCCGCTCGTCTGTGACGAGAGGACGGTGGAGCCCGACGAGCAGCTGGCCGTTGTAATTACACGGCCGGCCGGGAGCTTTACATTCGAGCGCCTCGAGGCGCCCGATCGCTTGTTTTATCAGCAGCTGTCACTGTCGTTGCCGGTCTCGAGACCCGCTGTGCCTGATGCGGCCAGGACCGGCACGGCTCTGTGACAGGAGATCAAAGAGAGATCACTTTCCAGCTACAGAAGCTGATGAAGCAGAATGCTTAGCAGATCTCTGCTTCAACAGCTTCTCTGGGGGTCACTAGTAGACATTAGGGGTCTTGGAGACCCCCTGATGTCTTCATAAAAAGGACCGGCCATGTAAATTGGCTATCACATAGGGGGCCCCCCCCCCATGTGATAGCAATGAAGTTGTGTAAAAAAAAAAGTAATACAAAAATTAAAGAATCATAAAAAAAAGCATTTAAAAAAAGAAAAAAAATGTTTTTAAGTCCTCCGCCCCCACATACACATGCAGATATGCGTCGGGTGTGCCTACGTGCGAAAACAACAATTGCGCCTATTGTGCCGCACATGTTACATATAACCGCGAACGTCGCAGTGTGAGCAATAATTTTAGGGCCATTAATTACTGATAACACTAAACTGACGAGCGGTAAAAGCATTTTAAGTGTGATAGTTTTTTTTGCGATTTTGCGGGCGCACGAAATTCTAAGTCTTTACATGTTTGATGTCTAGGGACGCACCGATACCGATACAAGCATCGGTATCGGCCACGATACCGAGTATTTGCATGGGTACTCGTACTCGTGCAAATGCTCTGATGTCCAAAACGAGTACCCTTGTCCGCCATCTTCCACCGCCGCACACAGGACCGCGTCTGCATTCATGCAAGATGGCTGCGAACTCCTTCTCCACGGGCGAACGGCCGAAACCAGACTCCGCCTTCAATTCCTCTGTCCTCACTCGTGATTGGTGGGGAAGCCTGTCAATCATCCAATCGGCCAATCAGCGTGAGAAGAGGCCATCATTGACAGATGACTAGGCTGTGACACGAGGGGATGAAGCAGACGGAGACGACGGAGAAGAAGGTTAGCAGCACTGCTGGGGCTGGGCACAGGATGGGGGGTGGGCACAGGATGGCCTCAAAAGTTATATTTGCCTGCTGTAGGTTTATAAATTTAAAAAAAATGCACTACTGCTTGCTATTCTATTTGGATGAGGCAAATCATGGATGAGGCAGAGCACATGTTCAGCATAAAAAACAGGATGGCATAAAAAAAAGTTATATTTGCCTGCTGTAATGCAATTAGTAATTGCATTACAGCAGGCAAATATAACTTTTTTTTTGCCATCCTGTGCCCAGCACACACCTGTAGTGTGGCACAGTTATATCTAATTCTGCATACCTGGCTGTATATTATACATTAAAAAATGTAATATACAGCCAGGTATGCAGAAATAAATATAACTGTTCCACACTATATGCAATGCATTATGCACTACAGTGTTCTGGTCTGAACATGTGCTCTGCCTCATCCATGATTTGCCTCATCCAAATAGAATAGCAAGCAGTAGTGATTTTTTCTTCTTTTTTTTTTATAAACCTAATTGCCGATTTAGGTTTATAAAAAAAATAAAAATCACTACTGCTTGCTATTCTAGCTAACTATGCCTTGTATCCCCATATGGTGGAAAATGGATGTCTCGTACTCAGACCCAAAAAAAGTGGTATCGGTGCATCCCTATTGATGTCTATTTACCCAACGTGACCCCGTCTTTTATGTTTTACCAAAAATATGGGTAAGAATAAATGTTTTACAACATAACGTAGGGAAACTTTTTTTTTTATTTACTGTACTTTTTTCATTATATAGTAAAAAATAACCCCCCCCAGTGGTGATTTTATATACCACCAAAAGAAAGCTCCATCTGTCCACAAAAAATGTTATCATAAATTGCAAGGCTAGTCCGGTCATGCTGACTGGGTGACATTTTATAGATCTATATAGATATATATATATCTATATAGATCTATATATATCTATATATATATAAATGATATATTTCCAAGCTCACTCCCGTGATGAACTACAATCTCACATTTAGTTTACTAATTTGTATTGAGATTATAGTCTATCACATGATTGAGCTTGGAGCAGTGGCTACTTTACAACACACACAGGGACCATGGGGAACAAAATTGGCCAGGCTCCAGAAGGAAGGACAGTGTCCGCATGAATTCAGAGATGATTTGAGGATCTACAGCTGAGTGTTACACAAATAAGATACATTTTTGTTATTAGTTAAGGTACTTGAATGCATTTTTAACATTTACCTGCTGATTTTAATGTCACCTAAATTTTGGTATATTGGTAGTATGTACTTTATTGCATTAGCAGATCACTAGATTTTGTTTTTCCTTACTGCCCAGAGTTGCTATGTAAATTTCCATCCTGTATTTTATATAGGAATTGGCATTATGCAATTGTTATGGCATTTGGAAACCTCTAAACCTGCATTGCCTCTTTAACTGTTTCTGTGAGGGTTTCAGCATGTTAATTTGTTTCTAAAACTAAGGTCAATTGGCAGAGCTAACACTGCTATCACAGAGTAAACATTGAAGAAAATGTGTCACATTTTTATTTGGTTATTGTTTGTTTGCTTTGATTAATTGTTCACTGTTAGTCTTGTGATGTTGGTGACCAGGTTATAAATTGCCCAGAATTATGTTGTAGTGAGGAGTGTGATATACCTCAGCTAACCTCCTGCCGATTAATGCCGTAAAAAAAAGGTTTTGATTTGCAATAACTACACTTCTTGCCTGTAGCAACACAACTAAGCTTTGTAAGCAAAAAACAGTCATTTTAAGCTAGTGTAATGTTGTACGTCAGCAGATCTATTGTCAGTTGCAGTTCAAGATTTTCATGGTTGTTGTCATGGCTGCAAGGTATAGTGCTGACTCCGCATCAGAGGGATAGTAATTAAAGCCAATCACTAAAATATCATATAAGCTTTAACCCATAATTCCCAAATATTTTGAGCTCTGCAGGTTTCATTAACCACTTGAAGACCAGGGTGTTAAACCCCCTTCCTGGCCAGGCCATTTTTCAGTATTCAGCGCTGCAGTACTTTGACATGTATTCAGTCATGTAACGCTGTACTGAAATGAATGTTATACCATTTTATGGGGACACACAGAGCTTTCTTTTGGAGGTATTTGATCACCACTGGGGTTTTTATTTTTTACTATATAACAAAAAAAAGTGCCAAACATTTTGAAAAAAAAAAAAACTTTCCCTGTGTTATGTTATGAAACATTTATTACCACCCCAATTTTTTGGGTAAAGTATGAAAGACGGGGTCACGTTGGGTAAATCAACACCAAACATGCCAAGTCTAAAATTGCGTGCGCCTGCAAAATTGCAAAACACTATCAAAATTGGCCATAGCATTTAAAAGCTTTTACTGCTCATTAGTTTAGTGTTATCAGCGATTGATGGCCCTATAAATATTGCTCACAAATCGACGTTCGCTGTGATATGTAACATAAGCAGCGCAATTTTCATTTTCGCACGTAGGTCCACCCAACGCATGTTTGCGTATGTATGTGGGGGCAGGGAACTCTTTTTTTTTTTTTTTTTACACTTTTAACTTTTTTTTGCTATCACATAGGGGGCTAAGAATCCCCCCATGTGATAGCCAATTTACATGACAGGTGCTCTTTATGGAGATATCAGGGGTCTCTATCTGCTCCACCAACTTCTCTCTGGCTTCTGTAGCTGGAAATGATAGCTGAATGCAGAAGTGATATAATAAACATCACTTCCTGCATTCTGACACCGGGGAGGTGATCAGAGAGAGATTGTGTACTGACCTCCCTTAAATCTACGGTGACGGAGCCGCCGTGGTGGTCCCGGTCCCCACTGGGCACAGCGGATCTCATGACTGGCGGTAGAGGGGTGCACACCCACACAAAATACAAGCGATGTAGTCAACGGAACGCTTGTATTTAAACACCCATCACCAGCTGTTTACATTCTAGGTAGTTTTCACATTTGCGCGCACTGGGTGCTGCGCACAAGTGGGTGCGGGACAGTTTAAAAAGCCCACCCGCATCTACAAGGGTCCCGTCCGGCCGTTTAGGCACATCCGCTAAATGGGAGTTGGTTAAAATAATGGCTGGCAATCCTACACTTCCTGTTATGGGTGACAATGCTCTATCCCTTTCTACCAGTTGTGCGCAATAACAGATAGGGGAGGGGAGAATGCCTGCGGGGAGCGGTAACTGACAGTCACCACTCACTGCAGGGAGAGGATTGGGAACTCCGCAATTGGCGGTAAGTGTTCGCTGACTTCCCGATCAATGGAGCCAACCTGTGACAGCTTCAGTGTCACAGGCCGGCTTGAATTAAGGTGATGAGTGTATTTCACTCACCCCATTATTCTCCTTTTAATCTTATACTAATGTTACCCTAACTATTTAAACAACTGTTTTTTTCCCCTGTTCCCCTGTTTTTCAATGTATCATTGAAAGAGGAATAAAGTAAAATTCATACATTCACTTTGCGCTTTACAATTCCATAATTTACATGTCACAATGATGTAATATGTTAATCAGCGGGCATTGTTGATTTACACTTTGAGGTAAATTTATGGGGTGCACAAACTGCAGAATAAGTTGCAGGAAAATGCAACCATTTAATCCTAATAGAAACCAAGGAAATAAAAATATATTGGGGATGCACCGATATATCGGCCGCCGAAACATATCGGCCGAAAATGGCACTTTTGGCTAAATGCCGAAAGTGCCATTTTCCTGCCAGTACAGTGGCGCATCCCTACTTTCTTTCCTCCCCGCTGGGCGCTGCTCTGTGTCCCAGCGGGGAGGAGAGAAAGTGTGACAGCCGGCTGAGCGCTGCGGGAGGAGAGCGCTGTGAGCGGCCGGCGTCTCTCCTCCCACACCGCTCAACCTCCTATTGCACTCCGGCAGAGCGGTGTGTAGGCAGAGACAGCCAGCACTGTCACAAGAGGCTGAGCTCTCCTCCCCGCACCGCTCGCTTAGCCTCCTGTGACAGCGTGTCAGAGAGAAGTGCGAGTTCTAACACACAGTGATCAGTGATCGCTGAGTGTTTGTAGATAATTGAGGACATGGTATGGTTACTTTATCCCAAATTATGAATGAATGGGAAGTGATCTACATCACCTCCTGTTCATTCATGATTGTGGTTATAGTAAACACACAATGTTCTCAAGTTATGAATGAACAGGAACACTCAGTATATAGGATTCCTGTTCATTGATAACAGGGAATACAGAAAAAGAGATTGAGGACTTTGTGTCTTTAATCTCTTTTTCTATTTTAAAAGGGAAATATCAGGGGTCTGTTTAGACCCCTAATATTCCCCAAAGCCCCTAAAAGTAAAAAATAGAAATATTTGATAAAAAAATGAATAAATATAAATATAAAAAATTAAAAAGTTTATAAAAAAATATATTAAAAAAATTAAAATAAAAAACATTTTCGGTCTGACAATTTTTTTTATTTCGGTTTTGAAATTTCCATTTCGGTGCACCTCTAAAAAATATGTATCCAAATTTGCTAGCAAATAAAAGCCCTATCTGTCCCTAAAAAAAGATGTAGAATATGTTAGGGTAGCCTACAAACTTTAAACAGTAGAAGGTGCCAAACTGAGACATTGCTAAAACAAAGAAAGCCTTCTGGGATTTAGGGAGAAAAAGGCCCAAGGATTTAAAGGGCAAAAGAAAGTCTAATGAATGTTTTTTTTTTTTTCTCAAGGCATGGGATTGTGCAGCCAGGGCTCACTGATGATGAACTGTGGAGAGCTAAGTATGTATATGATTCTGCCTTTCACCCAGACACTGGTGAAAAGATGATTCTGATCGGAAGGATGTCTGCTCAGGTACCGATGAACATGACCATCACTGGCTGCATGATGACTTTTTATAGGTAAGATTATACTTCTCTTGTTTTGTGTTCCCCTATATGGGCTAAAATATATTTTTCGTGTTACCTGGTCTCTTGCCTGGTACCCTGTTCTGGATGCTGAACTCTGTGCTACTGGTCTTGTCATTTTCATCCTCCATCACTGTTTGATTTGTTTCTCTGCTGTCTAATTCCAATAGGATGGACTTTCCTCGTAGTCAAAATGTTGAGGTTAATATAGCGATTCTAGACATCAGAACCCATTCTTCAAGATTCCATAAAAGCATGATTTGGAAATCAGGTGTTTGTGAGTCCTGAATTTGCTTAACAAACAGGCATTTTCCCCTGTGGGGTATTCACTGAGCTGAATTAAGGGACAGTATAGTAGTGACTAGTAATTCTTGCGCTGCCTGCAGTGGGCACACACTCTCCTCCTCTACACCAACTTTAAAGGGTTAACTGTACCAGTACAGTTTTCTTTAAATGGCTTTTAAACTGTATAGGAGGGAAGTACAGCAGTTTACTTGCCTTTACAATTTATTAAACAAAACCTGTCATGAAAAAAACATGAAGACTGTCATTGCCAATCACTCCTTTTGAGCAAAAGATTTTTGTGATGCCCAAAATCTCGGTTTATGTAGAGATCATAGGAAGCTGAAGTTATTTTAAACTTTTGTTGTGAGAGTTGCGCTTGGCCCTGCACTCTCACCACGCAAGCCTTTCTGTTGATCAGTAAGACTGTCCATCATTTGGGATACCCATAAAAAGCAGGAAGGACCCCAGCTCAAATTTTTTTCTGTAAAGATCAAGATTTGCTTATATATATTTTTTGCAGCTGAAATTATATGTATAAATGAAAAAAAATAAAAGTAACATATAAAAAAAGTGGAAAAAAAAACCCAAAATGTTTAACTCCCCCACCCCCACGTTTACGCACCTATAAACGTAAATACGCGCCCGGTACCCCAGCGCGCAAAAACGACAATAGCGCCGCGAACGTCGCAGAGAGCGCAATCATTTTAGGGCCATCAATCACTGATAACACTAAACTGATGAGCGGTAAGAGCTTTTAAAGCGTCGCCTAGGGCCAATTTTGGGTATTATCGTTTTTTGAGGTTTCGCGCGCGCACGCAATTTTAAGGCTTGACATGTTTGGTGTCTTTTTACCCGACGTGACCCCGTCTTTTATATTTTACCAAAAAATTGGGTAATAATAAATGTTTTATCATTTAATATAGGGGAAACAGTTTTTTTTTTAATTTCGGTAATTTTTCCTTAATATAGTAAAAAATAAAAACTATCTGTCCCCAAAAAAGGGTATAAAATTCATTTCAGTACAGCATTGCATGACGGAATAAATGTCAGTCAAAGTACCGCAGCGCTGAATACTGAAAAATGGCCTGGATGGGAAGGGGGTTTAACACCGCGGATGTCAACTGGTTAAAAAAAAAACTGAAGATCTGCTTTAAACTTCTTATGCATTCCCATTAACTTATGGGATGGGTATGGGCATAAAAGTAGTTCTGATTTCAGCTGTTGTTTATCCACGGTATGGTTCGAGATACAATAGTGCGCTCCTGTGGTTACCTTAAAGTGAACCTGTACTTTGCCCGTGGAGGCACTTACCTTTCCTTTGCTGTATCGCCTCTCTGCTTATATGAAGAATGAATGTGACATACCTGGTACTTCTGGATATGGGTGCGCATGTGACTCATTCAACTTCCTCCCAAGTGAGAGCACTTGCGAATTGCCATTTAGGCTCCAATCACATTCACAAGGAGGTGAGAAGACAGTCTTCAGCCCCGTTTAAGCTCCTGAATCTTTACACTGGGTTCCTTCTCTTTGTAGTGTGGGAGCAAAAAGGTAAGTATAAGCAGCTCTGAGACTGGCATTTAAGTGAACCTGTTGTTTTGCACTGCATGGGCAAAACACAGGCTCACTTTAAGCAGCGTAAAAACTTTCCTCATAGTACTGAAAATATAATTTCATATTTTCAAGAGCCAGTCTCACACTCTAGTGGTGAGATATGTGAGCTTCCAGGCCTGCAGTTACAATACACTGTTGCTTGAGCCCCCAGAAATCAGCGGTATTAATATCAACAGACACCGTCTGCAACTGGAGCATCACTTTTGGGTGCGCTACATTAAATGTAAAATGCTGTTATGCTTTTCATACCTATTCTTTATAAGAGCACATTGCAAATCATCCATTTCTCTGGTAATGTGTAACATTTACTGCAATTTGTGGCCATTAGGGTATGGGCATGTAATGCATAGTGACACACATAATGTATTTAAATATGGAATGTAAATGAAATTTCAGTTTTATTGTGACATCTCATTTTCTGCTTCAAGAGATAATTGAAGAGGGCAGTCAGTATGTATTCATCTAACATTGGATTCTCCATATAGAAATAGAGCCGGAGCCCAGATGTTCATGTTTAGTCTTTCTGACTGCTGCCTCTAAGCACTATGAACAAAGCCTGTGAATGCTGTTTTCTATTTTTAGGACAACGCCAGCCGTGATCTTTTGGCAGTGGATTAACCAGTCTTTTAATGCCATCGTTAACTATACAAATAGGAGTGGAGATGCTCCCATCACCGGAAGGTAGGAGAAAGTATTATGTGAGGCTTTGTGCCAGCAGCCCCAGTTGCTTTAACTATGCCAATATGGACTTGGAGTTTTGCCATGTTTTGGAGTGAAATGACTGACCTTGGGTTACAATTGCACTCTGCTGGTTTCAGAGGGCAGCTCATAGTCTCTGATGTGTAGTTATTGCATTATGACTTCAGGAATGTGTTACTATTTTGTGGTTTGACCTTTTCCCACAAAAAATTCTAGTGCAATTGGCTCAAAGTCATTGCTGTTGGACCTTGTTTACACAGGCATAAAGAACAGGCATTTGCTTCACGTTAAAGCTTTCCAAGGTCTTTGCAAAGCTAATGCCTGTTCTTTACATGAATAGGGAAAGGTCTAGTACACACCAGTGCCGTGCCTTCTGTGCTGGGTGAGGCACACAGCTCGCCGAAGCTCCGCCACCAGCTCGGTAACCAAGCTGTGTGGGGAGGAGGAAGGGAGGAGCCTCCCTGTCCCTCACTTGTCACTGATGAGGCATCGAGATCGATGTCTTCATTGTTTTGTTTTTCGTTTTTTTGATTGGATAGCTGGGACCAATGGAGTTTGCTATTGGTCCAAGCCATCCACAGAACTCACGCCTCTAACACAGAGTAGAGGCTGTGACAGCTCTTGCCTCACCAAGTTAAGTTATACAAGCAGTGGGGAAGCCCGCTCTTGTGTAACCTAACTACCTGTCAAAAGCCTATGCAGCGCTACCTGTAATTAACAGGCAACGCTCCATCCATGACAGGTTACACAGTGGGTAGGCTTTCCCTGCTCTGTAACCTGTTACAAGCCAATCTGAATGGAGAAAAAGCTGTCCGCTTCAGACTTGAAGCTGACAGCTTTTTTCTCCATAATACTAGGTGAGGCTGTGCCTCCCCTGACCGCACGTCCCTGGTACACACAGCGCATTTGTGTTTCTTCATCATCATCATTTCAATCCTGCAACCTGCAAAGTCAGTGGACGTGCACGGCAGATGCATTCCAAACCCCTGTAAGGCATTTGGCACACGTTTGCAGAACACTATGGCAAGGCTTGTTGACTTGTCAACCGACCCGCCACCTCCTCCCCCTCCACTCCACCTTTCCAAAAAAAAAGCATTCAAAGAGCTTCAGAAATAGTTTTCTACTGCCTGTAAAATGTGTCTGTAATGCAATCTAACGCTACAGGTGTTGCAAAGACATTTTATAGGGTTATTCACAAAAGGGTGAAGAGTTTGGAGAAGCCAGGAGAAGGGAACAATCTAGGACAACATAGCTGAACTGGAAAGTGAGCTGAATTGGAGAATTTTTCCAAATCAGCTATGTTGTCCTAGATTGTTCACTTCTCCTGCCTTCTCCAAACTTCACCTTTTTGTGACTAACCCTGTTAGTTTTAAACCCCATGTGAACTTGGCCTTTGGAGACTTTTAATTTGTATTTACTCCCATTTTTTTTTCATTCGAAATATGAATCATGTAGCAGTCCATCTCTCTTTGCTTCTTTACAGGTTTGTATTGCATACTGATTTTTAGACAGTACTGAATTGTTAGATGGTCAATGTCATTCAGCTGGATGCAGTGTGCTCATCTTTAAGATTTTGGATATGTCTAATCAGCTTTTTCAAGGGACTGGAGGAGTGCCTCCGAAAGAGAACATATGTTTTTATATTACTCCAGGCTCACTTGGCTAGGCTGACAAACAATAGTGCTGCTGACTAAAAAAAAAATCTGCTCTCTGATGCAGGAAGAACCACGTTATGAGAGGTCCCCTGTCATTAAAGCAAACTGTCATGAGAATGACATGGAAGGTGCCATTACTGATCTCTGACAACACCAACTGCCTAGCTGTCATGCTGACTTTTTGCCTTTAACATTTTCCACCTCCCTGGGTCACATAGGTAGAGAAGGACCTCTGGTTTATGTCTATCTTTCCTAATTTGGGTACTTGTTTCTATTAAGTGATTCAAAGGTTTTTAGGCCAGACGGGCTGTATAAAAGCCAACAACTTGTATGTCAAGTTTACAGGAGGTTAGTAGGATGTACAGAAAGAGTGTCATGAGAAAGGACCTCTTTTATTCTGCATATCCTAAATCAAGGTAAGACTTAAAGGAACAGTCTTGTGTTTATAAAATGGCTGATTAGCAACTATCTACTAGATATATTATTTAAAGTTGCCTGTTCCTATAAAGAAACACTATATAAAGTGTTTTGTTTTTTTGTCTTTTTTTTTATCTATCATACACCCGCTATGTGTTAACACCCAGAGCATGTGTTTTGGAAGCATAATATTGTAGATCAGTTCCTAAACGCACTAAATTTTCACTTACCTTTCATTATTTCATGTAATGCTTTTCTGTGCACATGCAAACACTCTACCTCTTGTTGTTTTAGCCAACTGGGAACAGCTTATGTTTCTGCCACCACAGGTGCTGTTGCCACAGCTCTAGGACTTAACGCACTAACCAAGGTATTTCATGTGTTTGGACTTATTTTGTGTTTTTAATTGAATAACTAATATCCATTTCATCAGTGCTCACTTCTATCTGTTCACATCCAGCAAGTCATATGGGAAACAGGTAACATAAATGAACCATGCTCAAATCTGGCCTTTTATTTTCAGGGTTAAACATTTCTTTAAGTTAAGTTTCTTTTGAATTACTTGTATATAATGGTGTCTATAGACTTTAGAGAACATTTACCAGATCCAGCCATTTATAGCCCCGTTGGGGAATGTTTGCATGTCTTTAGGACCTTGCTTAATATAACAAACATCAACTGGCCAAGCCTGTGTGAGGGGAGGTATCGGCTAAGTTGATTTTTACCTGGCCAGTTATTGTTGTCTGCTGAGAGAGGCGAAATGTATCAATGTCTTTAAAGCACTCCCCCCACAACTGTGACTGTGCACATATTTTTATGTGCATTTTTATACCGCAATCTTTTGTTGTTTAACAGCCAGTTTTTGCATGTATTGGTGACCAAATAAGTCAGTGGACATCCTAAAGATGATCTCTGGACAGCAGAAATTTCACAATCAAATCTTCTTTCCTATGTGCTGAACATGAACCTGTTTTAGAATCATAGAAAATGTGCACAAGAAGCTGAGATTTGTACCTTTAAAAATCCCTCAAACGTCATCACTGGCTTCTGAATTTTCCTGTTTAGAGTGCCAGCTGGGGCAGAGGTTTGCAGCACTCATTATGTGTGTTCCTGTAAGGGTATGCATGCACTGGGAAACTACATTTCCAATTCTCTGGGTCCATGCAGTGAGCTGGCTCTTTGGAGGTGTTTTGCTTGGACTACAAATCCCAAGGATAAGCGGGGTGTACTCAGCTGTGTAGTGAACAAGTGTGTGGGTAGAGGGGACAACTTTGCTCATGATGCTGCATTGGCAACATATACATTGCAGCAGCGCTATGCTTTATCAATGAGCCTTGCTTTGTCAGCATTATCAGTGTCACTGTACATGTTCAGCAAAATAATGTACAGTGAACTTGCAGCTGAGGTTTACTTACTCTGTTTTCCCTGCACTAAGTCTTCCACATTGCTGGCAGTCAGTCAGTGAAGCAGATAAAGCCTCTACTGTCAGCAGTGTGCAGTCTTTACTCTTGGCCCTGCACCATTGATCAGCCATCAGCAGTAGGATGCACTTGAATTTTGGCCACAAATGGTACTTTCAGCTGAATGCCGAAAGTACCAAAACGGCTAAACATGCAGCAGAAAATGTTGTGCATCCTTAACCTCTCTCCTCCCCACTGGGTGCCGGTCTATGTCTCATCTGATCCCTGCTGCTCTCCCCTGCCCATGTCGGCAGAGGCAGTAGGGATCCGATGGGACATAGACCGGCACCCATCCTGTACACCTCTCTCCATCCTGACACCCCTGTCAAACACTCAGCGAACAGCTGATCGCTTAGTGTTTGTAAATAACTGTGGGCATAGTATGCTTACTGTGTCCCCAGTAATGAATGAACAGGAAGTGTTCTACATCACTTCCTGTTCATTCATGTTTGTGGACATATTATACTATCTCCACAGTTCATAAATGGACAGGAACACTCAGTACAGTGGCTTCCTAGTTATTCATGACAGGGGCTGCAGAAAAAGAGATTTAGGACTCTGTTTAGACCACTGATATTTCCCCAAAGCCCCTGACAGTAAAGTAAAAATAAATAAATCATTTTAAAATAAAAAAAATGTAAACTATGGTTTCGGCCTGACAAATTTTTTATTTTCAGTTTGGGTCTAAAAATTAAGTTTCGGTGCATCTCTAATCAGCAGTACGCAGAGTCTTCACACTCTGCCCTGATAAGCTGTCAGCACTGTGCAGAGTCTTCACTCTCTGCCCTGCTCCACTAATCTGTTTTCAGCAGTGTGCACAAAATTCAGTACAGGGACATGTAAGGAAGAGACCTTTTTGCAGTTTATAGAAATTGCAGCTGTCTAAAGATTACAGCTTTAACTACTAAACAATCAATTGCATAATTTATTCGTTATTACTGGAAGAATAGTTTCAGAGCAAGCTTCTTACTATACAATATTATTTTACAGAGTGTGACAGCTACCAGCAGTGTATGGAGGATTTAGTCAAACCAGGCATAGTGAGTGGCTGATCAGCAGAGCTGAGCAGAGTTTAGTGAAGCCTCCACACGCTGCTGTTAGCTGATCAGTGAAGCTAGGCAGGGTTAGTGAAGCCTCCACGTGCTACTGATCAAAGGATCTAGGCAGAGTAAGTAAAGCTTCCACAAACTGCTGATCACCAATCAGTAGATCTGGGCAGAGTAAGTGAAGCCTCCACATGCTGATGATCGCTGAACAGTGGATCTGGGCAGAGTAAGTCAAGCCTCCGCATGCTGATGATAGCTGAACAATTGATCTGGGCAGAGTAAATGAAACCTGCACATGCTGATGATAGCTGAACAGTGGATCTGGGCAGAGTGAGTGTATCCCCCACACACTGCTGATACTGATTTCAAAAATGTTCAAGTATGCAACTGCACCCCTCAGTCCTGCTTCACGGATTGGCTGTCTGCAGTGTGTGGAGGTGTTAGAGTAGCAATGTAAAGCAGGTGAAACCTCTATACACTGCTGATTAGAGTGGGAAAGTGAGAGATCAGCATGCTTATTCCTTTTGCTGGGACCTCCTTGCTGCTGGCTGATTGGGGCAGATTGGAAGCATCTAAAATGGAGCAGCAGGAGTAGACTGCAGGTTAAGGTAAGTTACACATGCAGCTACTGCAGGTCATACTTTTTTTTTTTTTCTAAAGTTTTGAAAATGATTGTTTTTTATCATTCATTTGTTTCGGCAGTAGGGAAAGTATACATTAGATCAGAGGGATAAATCCAGGTGCTTATTAAATTCTTTCAGGCTTGAATCACCATTTTGGTGTAGGGAGACCACTGGCCTGACCAAGTCAAAGGCAGGCTTATGTTATGTAGCCAAGGATTTTTTTTTTTCAGCAAAGAAACTTCAATCAAGCACCGCATTTGTACTTTTATATTTTTGAGATCAGGTCACAAATTCGGCATCTGGAAGCCTAAATGTTTTTTTTTACTGACCTAACTAATGGGCAGACAAGTCTCTTGCAAACTTTAGGCTTTGGCACATTTTGTTTTTCATTGATGCACCTGTTGTGTAGAGATGGCTATCTTTATTGTGAATATATGTGAGGCCTGCTTGCTTAATAACACAGCCAGGTTTGGGGAATCCAGGACTATCAAATTCTATTGAACTTGACTACACACGTGCACTGAATACTAAGGTACTACAAAGAACTACTCTTTACGTGTAGAGTTGTAAAACATATGGTTATTATTTAAGGCACGGGACATTATCTAAACTATACAAGTTTGTAACAAGGAAAATCCTATCTTTTTTTTTTTTTTTAGCATGTTTCACCACTTATAGGAAGATTTGTCCCTTTTGCTGCTGTTGCTGCTGCTAACTGTATCAACATCCCATTAATGAGGCAACGGTAAGATGCTAGTGTACCTTTGAGGCATGAAAACAGAAAAAAAGAGTATGTTATATTTGCAGCTATGTTAAGAGTTTGGCAAAAAAAAAAATCCTCATTTAAAAATAGTACAGTTTGTTGTAACAGTTTTTCCTTTTGCATGGATAATATTATTATTACTATTATTCCCAAAGCTGTTGATTAATATTGTTTCCCCCACACTTAACATGAATCATTGTCCAAGCCATCCATCCATTCATATAAAGTACAACCAGTTGCTGAAGACTACTTTGGAAGAAGAAACAAATTGTACTCCTGAACCTAATTTCCCTGGGTCTGCCATGTTTTTCAGACAGCACTGTAAGCCCTGAGGAGCGAGGCATTGTGCAACTCCCCAAAACGCATTGGCTGTTTAATTCCTTTTGATGTAGCACTATTGTCTCTTCTCAAACTCCTGGATTTGTATAAATGACAGGGCTGACTTCCTGAGATAGCAAAATGGAGTTAGATCATGCCTGCGTATTCTGTTGTCCTCCTATGTCTATGGGCACCTTTAGTCTAGGTGTTGAAAAGTCTGGTTAGGCTATATCATGCCAACCCTGTTTGTCTCACAGGTGCCATCTGAAGAAAGGTATAGTCTTTCATCACGACAGGAACAACAGTGTGTTATTTATTCTGATTTTAAATTAAAACCTTATCACAAAATGAAAAGCCCATGCAATGTATGTATTGGATTTGTAATATTTTACAGAGAATTAAAGTATGGTATACCAGTCACAGATGAAAATGGGAATCGAATAGGAGAATCTGCTACTGCTGCTAAACAAGCCATCACTCAGGTGGTCGTCTCCAGGATCCTGATGGCTGCTCCTGGCATGGGTATGTACACAATATAACAAATTCACTTCTCTGTCAGAGACTACAGACTATTTACCATTTCTTTTCATGAGGTTATTTTGCCAGTAGAGTTTAGGAGAGTTTAATGTGGCATGCTAATAGTTATTAGATGTGCCATATTTCACACAAAAAAATAGTTCTTTTTTTATAACAACAACTTAAGCTGGCCTTACATTGTGAGATTTTTTTTTTTCAGCCTGCGGGCTAGATGAAAGTGATCTAACAGATTTCTTTATCCACTCTAAACAGTGTGGATGTAGGAATCTCCCTCTGGGGCTATTGTATTTTTATAGTGGTGAGTGTGCCGCTGTCTGAATGCCAGAACAGTGCCTGTAGCTGATTGACTTCAGTCACTGTCTATCGACACTGCATGTACATTTGTTCCGCATGAATTAGCCAACTGTTGTGAGAATGGGGCAAAATCGAATATTCTTAGGTTATCTTTTCTTCTGATTAAATGTTGTTAGACTCTAATGGGCAGTGGTACAAATAGGTTAGTTCTTAACTGCCTCCGGGCCGGCCGTAGTAAAAAAACGGCTGGCCAGGAGCTCTCTAGATCTGAGCAGGCATCTTCAGACGTCCGCTCAGACACGCCCCCTTGCGCGCGCCGCCGGGAAATGGCCGCAATTTAAAAACGGGCACCGATGCCCGTTAATATACATGCGATTTGGAAGTGAGCGAACATATACTGGCGCTCACTCACTTCTCGATCCTGTCACTGCAGAGAGCCGTGACGGGAGGGCCTGGATTCCCCCCTCTGCTGACTGGTGGAACGGACAGGGGCGGGTACCGCTGGCTCTGCCTCTAGATAGGCAGAGCCAGCTGTCACTCACGCAGCTGGGTGGATCCAGACATAATTGTCGGGATCCGTTTCAGCTGTGGCGTCTCGGTATACCGCGAGCTGTAGTTCGTGGCATACTGAGCTTTGGGTGACGGGAGGACGCTAGTTTGTGTCCTCCCGTTACCCTTAGGAGAACTATGGGGAAAAGCCCTAACCCCATAGTTCTCCTTTAAAGAATATAGAGCGTATCAGGGAAAATACTGCATTTTGGCCACTAGATGGTGCGGAGGATCATAGAAAATAAATATTATCTTAGTAACGAGATACAATGTATCAATTCTAGAGAGTGCTAAAGAGAATTGGAGAATACATGTAACCATTGCTACTATGGGGTTCTAAAAACAGGTTCTTCACCCTTTTTTATTTGTGTACCATAATAAGGTAGTAACTGTATACAGTTTAGGAATTCTATTACACTGTGCACATTTCATTCTGAAAGTAGTCGTTTTTTTCTCTACAGCAAAGGCAGTGCATAAACAATAGATTTAAAAGAGATATATTTAGCAGCGTGTAGTTATATAAAAGTGGAGCTTTCTCTGGAAGCAAGTTCTTCAGTGTGCTGAAGAAACAAAGCTGCTTGATTTTGATTATAGTGTCTTCTTACCATCTGCATCTCAGAGTGGCTGATTCCCTAGTGAGTAAGTGGAGTGCTCTTAGATTAGCAGGCTGGCCGGTTCATTTCTATATGACATTTTTTAGCATGGACGTCAACCTGAGGGATGGAGCCTTTTTTGAATATGCCAATATGCCCTATGTCTTTATTTACTGCTCTTCAGAAGTATGTGGAACATTAACTACTAACTCAAACCAGATTTGAAGCCAACGTGAAATATTCCAGGATAGCACAACATTATCAGCTAACTTCACTTGTTTGCTATATTTACAGCCATCCCTCCATTTATAATGAACAGTTTGGAAAAGAAAGCATTTCTTAAGGTAATGTTCAAATTCTGCTGTATATAATGTAATTTCATCCGACTCAATTGCTTAATTTTCATACAATTGTGTTTTGCATTTTAGCGATTTCCATGGATGAATGCCCCCATACAAGTAGGATTAGTGGGATTCTGGTAAGAATTTCAGCATTTCAGCATTCATCTCCTTTGAAGATATATGAGAAAAAAACTATTATCTAGCAAAAACATAGCACACCAATACTAAATAAAAGGAACATCAAAAACATACCAATAAGACCTAGAGCCATAGACATACCTTTTAACGATGATAACTGTCCTCTGCATTTATTACTGTGACTATCAGAAATATCTCCATCTTCTGTAAATAAGTTAAATAAACACCATAAAAATGTATTGCCCCCACATATGATCCATATCCTCAAACATTATAAAAGTGTATAAATTGATCACAACCATTTACAGGTGATTTCCCCAAAAACTGAATATTTTAATAGTATAGTCAACTACTAAAATATACTATGTAAAGTGCTAGCTGCAAACAAAACTAAAAAAAAAAGGAGTGAGCAATAAAAAAAAAAAGGGGGAACTAATATGAAAACCTACATGAAAATCTATACTCTTAAAGCACAACTCTGGGACTTTGATAAGTTTTGTCTAGGGAACGAAAATAAAGTAGAAATACTCACCTGATCCTCGGTCCCACCTGGCTCAAGCAGCCTCTTCTCCTCTGGGCTCCGGTGGTCTAAGAATGTCATCACATACATTGTATTAGATGCCGGGGGACATCTGGACAGCTGGAGCCGAGGGGGAGCGGTCCCCAAGAATCAGGTGAGTATATCTTTTTTTTATTTTCACCTGTAGGCCAAAATGAGCAATTAACCCTTGCAGTGCAGGGTGTAGCCCCTTCTTTAAGCCTGCCATCAAATAAATATGGCGACTGTAATTACTGAAACTCTATCTGTATACTTGTTCCTGGTCAGTGTCTCAAAATGTAAAAGCAAGAGGGTCAGTATAACAGCCTGTTCCCTGGCATTTTTGAAAGGACTGGTCAGCAGTGGTAGCCTCCTACTTTGTTTGAAGCAAGGATCCTATAACTTAGTTTAGGTAAGGTTCAGACACAAAAAGAAGAAAGCCAAAGAAATTTGGTGAAGTAGGAGATAGTATAAAAAAATAGTGACAGTATGGCAGGACGTAGAGAAGCTCTACCCATTGTACCTTGAAATACCACCTTATTAGGAGGCAGAGATGGACGTAGTTTGGTGCATGTATTGGAAGTAACAGCGAAGGGTCTTTCTGTACTAGAAATGTACATGCCAAATGCCAGAAAACATACCTTAAAGGTGCATGTGTTGCAGATTTGCTCCAAAGGTCTGAACTGACCCTCAGCCATTCTGAAATAACTAGAAAGAAAAGTTGGTGAAGCTATGAATGATTAAGCAAAACATAAAGATATAGAGGGGGGAATTTATGAAAACTGGAGCAGCTGTGTATGGCAACCAATCCGCTTCTCTCTTCAGTTTGTTCAGTTAAGATTTGAAAATGAGAGAGAGAAGCTGATTGGTTGCCATGCACAGCTGCTCCAGTTTTGATAAATTCCCTTCATAGTGTTTTTAGTTGCATCTATCTTTTCATCCATCCCATTGTATTTAAATAAAACATTATTGGTATGGATGTACCTTAAAATTAATATTTTCAGTGTTATACAGGGACATTTCTGTAATCTATAAGTGAAACTAGGTTTTAAAGAAGATATTTTTTTAAGAGATTTTTATAAATATGCCCTTTTTTTTCAGTTTGGTATTTGCGACACCACTTTGCTGTGCATTATTTCCCCAAAAGAGGTAAGTGTATTTTACACATTATTTTCTAATGCCATTAATATAGTGATTGTGTAACATTTTAAAGCTGACCTGAAAAGCAGGCATTCAGCAGTTCCAGGAGGCATCTTTTCTTTTTACCTTCCAGCGTCTCTCTATTGGTCACACAGAAATGGCAAACCTGGATCACTTAAGCTGGATATACAGTGTTAGAATTTTTTTATTCAGCTTTTGGGCTGAACGCAAAAATAAAAAATGGAAGAATCTCCCACTGCAACTATTGTAGTTTGACAGTCAGTCAGGCGGCTGTCAAAATACCTGAACAGTGCCTGCATCTGATTGGATGCAAAAGCTGTTCTGCCGACAATTTTGTGCCTGGCTCCTTCGATTTTACAAATCAAAGGATGACGCGCAGGAGCTAGCATTAGGAATTGGATAAAATACACGTTGTGTATACCCAGCTTTAGAAAGCCAGATCTCTGGCATGCAACCCTCCACATTACTCCGTGCCATGCTTTTCTGACCAATACAAAGGCCCATGAAGCTCTATTACATAATTATTAATAATATATCATTAATTATAATCCTATGTCAGATTTACTTCTAGTTTTTCATTTTTTTTTATGCATAATATTGTATGTATTACAAACACAGCTTGACCACTCACAGCAAACTGCCAGTCCCAGTACAGCAGTATTGAAGTACCTAATAGAGGATCTGAATGGGAAACCCCCTGTCCTGTGCACCAAAGCCCGTGACTACAAGTCTTTTTGCAGAATTTACAAGAATCTTTATTCCTTTTGCCCATGTTGGTGACTCACTTCCTCTTTTGCGGTACTGTGGCACATAAACTTCAGTAAGCGATTACACAATGGGGGAATTTATGAAAACTTCAGCAAACAGAATCTGGAGCAGTTGCCCATTGCAGCCAATCAGCATCTCTCTTCAGTTTGTTCAGTTAAGATTTGGAAATGAGACAGAAAAGCTGATTGGCTGCAATGCAAATGTGCTCCAGATTTTGTCTTCTCCAGTTTTGAGAAATCCCCCCCGCCTCCATGTGTTCAGCAGCTGCTCAAATGTAAAAAGTAGTCAATCTGCACTTTTTTTCAGTGATGTCATGGTAATGTTATGACTTCAATGCTTGTTCAATTGTCTTACTCGGAACAAGTATGGAGATAAAGAATTCTGACACTGTTTTTTCTCAAACTCATTTGCAGCATGCTTTGCTGTAGCTCTATTATTGAAGCCAGACACGGGTAGCTAGCATTTTCAAATGTGAGTCAGATATAGCAGCCCCCATTCTTTTCTGATGACAGCCCCTTTAAGAAGCTTTGTTTCTGCAAAAAGATTTACCACACTGGCATTTCAACCTTTACTGAGATATTTGTACAGTGGGAAGACAATGAAGAGGGATGCAGATTCTCTTACAATACGCTGCACTGATCTGGTTTATAGAAAAGTAGGCTACGCATACCAAAGTATTTAACGTTCTAAACAAGTATTCTTTTCAGATTTTCTATGCTATATACTTGATGCTTATGCTATCTGCGCACCAATTGTGTGATTTGTAATCTGTTTATACTGCATTGATTGCTATGTTCTGTCTCCTTTGTTCTGGATACTATTAATGAAAACTTTGTTTCCCACAAATTCCAAACAAGAAGTAAAAGCACTTTAAAACAAGCCCTCATTCACCTCCATATCTAGAGGCATTTGGGAGAAATGTGTTTTTTCAATTGCAGCAGAATCTTGGCAGCCTGCAAGCCCTCTGAAGCCTCATACACACAGACACATGGGGGCCGTACTCGTAAAATGTTAGCGTATTTCTTGCCTAGAAAGCCACAGGTACTGCGTAGAGCTGCTCATTGACATCAAAGGCTGTGCTGCTGGTATATGCTGGTACTTTTGTAAACTAGTGCATGTGCACGAACAAATGCTCCAAACACAGACAGTGGCTTCCTGGGTAGGAAAATATGTCTGAATTTTATGAGTACAGCCCCTTGTCATATGGTTTAAACTAGAGTCTTTGTTGTGATCTTTGAGAATAAATAACTTCTCATAAAAGCAGCTATAAAGTTCAGGGACGGCTTGTTTTAAAGCCATTTTTATGCAAAGAAGCGCTTCTCATTGGTCAGCGTGGTCACCTGACCGCGCTGACCAACGAATACTTGCAATTTGCAAAAGAAATTCAAAATCCATAGGGCAGGGCTGTGCTGGATGGCAGTATGGGGTACAGATAGTACACCTGTACTGGCGGAGGGGAAGGACCGTGCGCCGAAAGGAAAGTATAGCGCCGGGGGATGGAATGTGGGGAGAGGGGGCCAAATTTGAGCGGGTAATTCCATTTTCCAAATGACTTGCATGTTAGAAAGCACTACTTATTCACATGCAGATGGCGGTGCGGCCACGGTTGGTTTTATTTATTTATTTATTTTTAGTTTATCACTTAATTTTATTTTTACTTTTTTATCACTGTTTTATTATTTTTTTTTACTTTTAAATTTTATTTTATTTTTTTACTGTTTTATCAATTTATTATTTTAATTGTTTTTTTACAGGGTTTTTTTTTTTTCACTTAACCTTATTACCTTCACACAGCAGCTAACAAGTCCCTATGTGATAGTGTTTGAATGTGACAGATTCTCCTTATGGAACCTGCCCTCCAACACAGAACATCAAGCAACTGCATTAGGCTCGATTCTGTGCAGCCTGTGACAGCTGAGATAGGGGGCGCTATAAGTACAGCGCTCCTATCTCAGCGATCACAGAGAGCAGATTGGCAAACAGACATTCTCTGCTCTACTCCCCGCTCTCCATCCTGATATAATTGAAAACCGAAAACCATGGCAGGGGGCGGACAAGATGACTGCTCATTTTATACAAATGATCTGAGATCACCTCTACTTTGCCTCCTTTCAGTGAACAGCAGAATGGACCTGATGGGGAACATGGTTTTCAGAATTCCCCATCAGGCTCTGCCCACTCAAAGTCACTAAGGCAATTAATGTAAACAAAGGGGGATGCTGGCTGATGTCATTAACCAAATATAGCCATGAATGGGGCCCGGGATGCATAATTGGTTTCTAGGACTCTGGTGGCCCAGTGTCCTAGCACCTAATGAACAGGAAGTGGTCAGATTCATGACAGCTTCCAGCACATACATACCTCACTCTGAACACTGGCATCTCTCTGTACGTCAGATCAGAATTGGTCTTAATTAACACCAGTTTTTCAATCTGTAAACTGCCAGTCATTTTTCTTTAATCTGTCGCAGCCATAGCGACAAATTCTTAAACTGTTGACGGTAAGAATTACCTGAATCTGTCGCACATGTCGGTAAAGCTACTGAAAGTGGCAACAGGGCTTTTTTTAATTTAGCACAGGTCTATATTGTTTGAAAAGTGTCATTAAGGCTTTATTGATCCCATCACAATATTTAGTTTTTGTGGTGTATGATCACCTTGAAGGCCCTTTCGCAATTTGGGCTAGAATTAACATGCTTTATTGTGCATATTAAATGACAAATTTGTTCATGTGGAGTTGTCATTTAAATATACACGACCCCCTTCATTGTAGTGTAAAAATATTTCTCTTCACCCCTGCTCCTGAATTCTTCACTGTGTGGCCCTGCATGGCGCAATACGGTCTGTGCAAGAGAATTATCTTAGACAGGTCCTGTTAGGCCCCAACAAGTGTGCGCGTTAGGCGCACACTTGTTGGGGCCCCATTCATTCATATGGTTCCAGTAACAATTGGATACACTTATATGTAATTATACATTCATGAATATATTTCTGGATTTAATGTTTTTCATATGCCTGAAGTTTTAAATTGTAATTAGTATTTATTTACAGTATTCTTTAAACCGTGAATGATGCTGTTGTGGTGCTGCTTAGTTATTCAGGTGTTACAGATTTAGTTTCATCCTTTTTTTAGTCTCATAGGTTACCCCGAATCTGTTAATTAATCTTTTTTTTTTTGTCTAGCTCAATGTCTGTGTCACGCCTGGAGCCTGAACTGCAAGCATACATCAAGGAAAACAATCCAGGGCTGGAGAGAGTCTACTTTAATAAAGGATTGTAATCCGGCCTGTTCAGTCACCTCGGAGGGCCATCCCTTATCTGGAAATGTGTCTTCTTGACCTCGTAGGAAAGAGAAAGACGGTCCTAAATTCCATTTTACTGAAGAACACAATATATTTGTTTTATATGTTTTAAACGAAATGTAGCTCCATGATTTATTTTTACACAAAAAGTTCCAACATGACATTCAAATTATTTTTTACAGGATTTCCACTTTATCTCGTTAGTTCCTTTTAAAATGTTCTTTTCTTTAGTCATATTGTCTGGCAGCTTCTTGCCTTGTTTACAGTTGACTGCAAACAGTTTTTAAGTGGGTTAAAAAAGTTAAAGGGAAAAAAATAAGGTATGAAATATTCTATCCAGAAACCTTTTGTCCAGTATTATATTGTATTGTTTTAGTTTGTTTCACTTTATTTTTTTTTTTATTTTGCATCTTTTTGGAGACCTCATAATACTATGAGAATTGAGCCTCTTTTTCTGATTGGTGCTATGGGTTGTTGCACATCTTTGCTGTTTGCACTGAGTATTTTAAACATAAGTCTTAAGTGGCAGTCATTTTGGTAGTTGATGAGAGAGCACATGACATATTCCATTTCTTGTTCGGGTGTCTTTTAGTGTTGGTAGTATTTAAGGTGGGGATATACAGGGTAAGCCAGGAAATTGCAACGGAATGTAATACAGCAAATATGTACCATAAAAGCATTCTCAAAGTACACACTATGGGGCTGATTTATAATTCCTATGCTCCTCAACACCCAGAGGTGGTAGTTCCAAGTATTCACAGCATGCAAAAGTACAAAATAAGACCCTATGTTTGTAAGAACTTGATACCTGTCCATCAGCCATGGTGAGAAATATCATAACTCACTCTGTCACTCTGATATACAGCCTGCATATACATAGTTAGCATCGGGCATTGCCACTACATTGAACAGTCATAGTCTCTCATTTTTTTTTTTTTAGCATAATGGTATTGCGGAACCATTTACTGTGGTTGCTATTGGTCAGCAAAGTTCCCGTTTGCTCTAGGTCTGCTGCACAATAACCTAGTTATTGGCAAAAGAAAGTAGTATTGGCAAAATCCAGTGTAAATTTGTATATGCAGTACAATGTAATCAAGGCAGTGATCCAGATCACTGAGAACGTTCTTGTTGACCTGAGCATTCAGATTTCTGGATAATAGCTTGCGTACCTGTATTCAGTCTGAAGGGCAGTGAAAGAGATTTTCCACTTTTACAGAGTCATGTACGTAAAATAGTCTGCTTCTTACTTGGAGGTCTTGATCAATAGTGTTCCTACTTTTGAGATTCCTGACTGTCAGCAGCAGGGATCTACCACTGCTTTTCCATTTGCAGTACAAGGTGTGAGCCTGCTTAGATTCACTACAGGTGATGTTAGAACATGGAAGCACTTGAGAAAAGTGATAGAGCTACCAAAAACGTGCAAGTAAGTATGGGAGTAAAAATCCCATACCATTACAGAAGTGAAATGTGTCACATTTACATCACTTTTCTGTGCAGCCCATTTACAAAGTGTCGGATTATCAGTGCTGAACTCTGTGCTTGCTGTCATTGTAGCCAATGCAGGACAACAAAATCAACAGTTGGTAGGTTTGGGATTTTTTTTTTGTAGTATTAGCTTGGAATTATTATTATTATACATGATTTATATAGCGCCAACAGTTTGTGCAGCGCTTTACAATATAAGGAAGACATTACAATACAATTCAAGACAAGATGGTAAGGACAGCCCTGCCCGTGAGGGCTTACAATTCGGTTATGTGCTTGACTTTCACATTTTCAATATATTCACGGATGTTATTGAACCATCTTTTACATGAACCAGCTTGAAACTGTATGTTTGGTAGGCCTGAAATCTTAGTGTCAGACAGTGGCATTCTGTGCAAGGTTTGACCACCTAAAATGCAACTGAAGAGGGAGAGGGATTAGAACACCTGTCAGGTTTTTTTTGCTGTCTATGTCCCCGATGGGGAAATTCAACTTCTCTATTTGTCCTGGTGACTGTCCTCACTTAAAGTGAAAGAAAATACCACATACTTCTAGAATGCAGCTTTTCGAACTAATTGGAATATGTTGGCAGGAGGAACAAAAGCACACAAAAAAAATGAAAGAACTTTCTCATTGATCCCATTTTGTGGAAAAGCACAAGATCACCAAATGAAAATTTGCACACCATACTCTGATTTAAACCAGAGAATCTCACAGTTTTAAAATGTAAGTAGTGACACATAGACATTGTTTAGCAACCCCCTATTAATTGTTGCACATATCCATATTCGTTTACATCAGTATAAATGTATTCATTGTTTAATTTCTTTAGAAAATAATGAAGTTTGATGTTTTGTCTGCCAGCAGTGAGTGTTTGGAAGATTGGTTTCATTGCCTTCATTGTGTGGTTTCACATGTGCATTTATGTGACAAATGAATTCCAGACTGGAGCCAGATATCAGGTTGTACGTGGACTTTGTTAACTGTTCTCCAAACTGCCAATGGTGTATTTGTAATGTATTTATTGTATTACGTTTCCAAAGCTTTTCATTTACCGGGTAAACTCGTAGTCAGTTTTAAATAGAGAAGCCTTTGAGAGAACCCAAAGTCAGCTTTAATGATAGTTTGCAGTGTTCTGTGTAAACCAGAAATGCTTGTTTCTTTGATGCATTTACACAGCCACTTCAGGAATTCAGGTAAAACTAAGTAAGGTGAAAGAAATTAAAATCTATTCATTTTGTTTTTCTAACACACCTCTGTCTGCAGGCAACACTCAAGGCCTTGGAGAAGGTTGAGGCTGATGGGCCTGGCCAGACTCAGGAACTCAGCTACATTGGAACAGAATGGAGTGCCATTACTGACAGAGTTGTACTAATGATTGATACCTTCATACAGCTTTAATAACAGATTTGCTATAAATCCAATGTATGTAACGCCGCAGTCAACCAGGACTTCGATGTCTCTATGATTAAGCCTTTTTTGGCTAAACATGTCCTGTTGATTGTGTTATGCTTGCAACATTTTAGATTCCTGAGAATAAACTTTTTACATTGAGATCCTGGCTGTTGAGTGCAGCTATACATACATTGGATTACAAGTGACGTTTGTGGCGTGCCTCTGTTGGTCGGCACCCGGCGTTTTGCACAGGACTGATTAGTTTGTGCATACCAATATGAGCGATGTCCTTTTCACAAATGAGTTCCATGCATGTGCAAATCACAACTCTCTGAGATGAGAAAGAGGGACAACTTCCAATACAATGGGTAAAATGCATCAAAACTAAAGCAGATAGAATCTGGAGCAGTTGCCCATAGTAAACGGCTTCTCTTTTCCTTTTGATCAGTTATGTATTGAAGCTCCACTTTGAAGCTCGCACTTTACGGTCTGGAGTGCGATGGGACACACTTTGTCTTGACTTTAAAAAAAAAAATTCCCCTCAATGTATTTAAGCAATGGGCACATCCCTGCCATGCCCCCAGATATGTGGACCATTAAGAATTTATATGCCAAAAAAGATTGGGTATACCCAGAATTGTTCACCATTATTGTCAATGCAATCTTTCTACTTTTATCCCTCGCACAAAAGCTGAAACCTAAAAATCAAACTGTTGCAGTGGTAAAGGTAGTTCAGTGATAGAAACAAAATCTTCAGTCTTTGCAATGTGCAGCGGTGTTATGAGAGTGGTATTTCATGCATTGATGTTTGGACAGGACACAAAAAAAATCTGATGTGCCTGGGGACAGAATTGAGAATCTACCATGGCCATTATTATATCTACCATTATTAGTTTTCGGTGGCCAATGTATTACCCGAACACAGCCTTTTTCTATGTTTTTGTTTTTTAAAATACCAGTTTATTTCCTAATCTTATGGACTTATGTATATGCTGCTGGATGAAGTGCCATTTGTTATTATGAGGGACATCCCTTATTGTTTTCACTAAATTAGTCCAGTGCATTGTTTAATGATGCTCTTGTGTAGAGCTCCCCATAGACGGACATATTTCTTTTGGAGTACCATAATTGCTACAATATCTGTCCTTCATTGTTTCTGTTGCAGTATTGCTGGGACCTGCCATAATTTTCTCCTCATTTGTGGTGCTCAGACACACTAATTATCATTAGTTTGTTAATCTCTACATAGTTCAGTCCTCACAAATATGGTCAAATCTGTTATATTGGCAGTAATCAGGCTGTGTATGAGTGCCCTTACTCACCCCGTTCTTCGTCAATTGCTTTGTTAATAAAGTATTTATTTCTAACTGCAAATATATATTGCAGTTCTCTATCATGTTTTTAAAATACTGCAGCATTTTAATAAGCACTAGAAAGTAATGGCACAATTTACAGTAAACCAGGCCATCCTGGAAATGTAGCACATGGTTTGTGGCATAGGCTGACATCATACCCTTTTGGTCTCACCAAAAGCCCTTCTGTAGTGGGCTGGAGTCAGAATGGAATGACATCCTCAATTACATGTGCCTTGGGCAACATAATCTCGGAATAAATTCCTGGCTGCCAATTTTAGCAGGTGGTCCTTTTAGTGAGTTATGACCTGCTGTCATTTTCTTGGTGAATAACATTGTGTTTAGATTGTGTTAGGATTATTTTAATGTAATATGCAGCAGATTATTTTGAGTTTAAGTGAACCGCAACATCAAGGCCTTGTTTTACGCAATAATTTAAGGTTGTTTTCTGACATTGCAGGTTCATATGTTCAGCCAGTGCCGTATTCTCATATGTGTTTAGTTAGTTAGATAGACATGTAAGAGGTCACTGACCTAATTTCGAAACACTATTCTTAATCACACCAGTTTCTTTGCATAATGAATGAATTTCCAAAGTTTACTTGTGCTCTGCTCTGTTTAGACACTTTACTTTAGGGATTCTCAATGCCAGTTGTAATTGAGGTATGTTATAAGCAGTTTGTTTTAGTTCTAAATGGAGTGGGAAATGGTTAGAAGCTAGAGTAAGAAAAGGTTAGTACCTATGTCTACATTTTGTTGATGGGAGACTCCTCCTCAATTGCTATATGTTGCGTTTAAGACACAACAGGGGACAATTTCCCCAGTGTGTCCACAGCAATAAAAACCTATTTTTACAGTACAGTTAGGAACAGTTATGTCTAGTCTTTA